TTTACACAATACAAGTTATTATCTCATGGTTGGTACAACTTATATCCTCTATTAATATTGCCTAAACCAAAATTAGTGTCTATCTTAGAGAGAAACCATGACATTCGGAACAAAAAAAACAATCTAACTATAGAAATTCTATTTTTCAACCATTCCATAATGGATGTAAGTTCAACAAACCTTGGATCTTCCTCAATATAACACCCTTTCTTTTCTTCATTTTCTTAAAACTTTTCTTACAGGCAGCCTTGGCCAACCTAGGTGGTTAGCCATGGCTCACCATTTTTCTAATAAGGCCTTAGGTTGCTTTCTTTTGTTTTCTTTTTTTATTTCTTTTTCTTCAACCTTTACCTATGGCCATAGCCATTTTCTCCTTGATCCAGTTGTTATTCCTGGTGGAAATCTATTACCAGGAAATGATTTTGGAGTTGGTGATCCTCCAGCTCAATCACCCGAGTCATTAATAGGTGATTCTCCCGCTCCTGCGCCTGAAATTGGAAGTGAAAATTGTGACACAAGTTTTCCTAATGAGAGGCTAAAACATTCTTATATTGCATTTCAAGCATGGAAAAAAGCTATTTATTCTGACCCTTTTAACACAACTGCTAATTGGGTTGGTCATGATGTTTGTTCTTACAATGGTGTGTTTTGTTCTCCTGCTCTTGATGATCCTACATTGAATGTTGTTGCTGGTGTTGATATTAATCACGCCGATATCGCCGGTCACCTTCCTGAAGAGTTAGGACTATTGAATGATACTGCTCTTTTCCATATTAACTCAAACAGGTTCTGTGGTATTATTCCTGATAGCTTTGAGAATCTCACCATGATGTATGAGTTTGATATCAGTAACAACCGATTCGTCGGCAATTTTCCTTTAGTGGTCTTAAAATGGAAAAACTTGAAGTATTTTGATATTAGATTCAATGATTTTGAAGGAGTTTTACCTCCTGAGCTATTTGAGAAAGAACTTGATGCAATATTTTTGAACAACAACCGTTTCTCATCACGTATACCAGAAACACTTGGAAATTCAACAGCCTCTGTTGTGTCTTTTGCAAACAATAATTTTACAGGTTGTATTCCAAAATCAATTGGAAACATGGTGAACTTGAATGAGATTGTTTTCTTAGGAAATGGTCTTGGTGGTTGTTTTCCACAAGAGATTGGTTTGTTAGGGAGTGTAACAGTTTTGGATGCTAGCAAAAATGGGCTTGTTGGGACACTACCAAACTTAGCAGGATTGAAGAATGTTGAGGTTATTGACATAGCACATAACAAGCTTAGTGGTTATGTTTCCAACACTATTTGTCAACTACCTTTGTTGAAGAACTTTACATTTTCTTATAATTACTTTAATGGAGAAGCACAAACATGTGTTCCTTCAAAAGATTGTGTCGTTGTATTGGATGATGCCAAGAATTGTTTACCTGGAAGGAAGAATCAAAAGACATCTAAACAATGTCTACCTGTTTTGACAAAACCTGTGGATTGTAGCAAAAAGTGTGGTGGCGGAAAAGAGAAGAGTCATGCTCCTTCAACACCTAAACCAACTCCATCAAATCCACCTAAGGTAGAGACACCAAAGGCTCAACCACCACAAACTCCACCAACACTTCCACCGGTTGAAGACATTCCACCTATGCGACCACCAGTTGAAGATATTCCACCAACACTTCCACCGGTTGAGGACATTCCACCCATGCTACCACCGGTTAAAGATATTCCACCAACCGTTGCACCAGTGTCATCACCACCACCACCGGTTGAGCACATTCCACCTATGCTACCACCAGTTGAAGATATTCCACCAACCGTTGCACCAGTGTCATCACCACCACCACCGGTTTACTCTCCCCCACCACCCTCACCAACCTTCTCCCCTCCTCCACCAGTCAACACTCCACCACCACCAGTGTACTCCCCTCCGCCACCCCCGCCAGTTCACTCTCCCCCTCCACCAGTTTATTCTCCACCATCACCAGTTTACTCTCCTCCTCCACCACCTCCAGTTCATTCTCCTCCCCCACCAGTCAACTCTCCCCCACCACCAGTTCACTCTCCACCCCCACCAGTCTATTCACCACCACCTCCAGTTCACTCTCCACCCCCACCAGTCCATTCTCCTCCACCACCAACTCAGTCTCCACCCCCGCCAGTCCATTCTCCACCACCTCCAGTTCACTCTCCACCCCCACCAGTTCATTCTCCTCCTCCACCAGTCTACTCACCTCCACCACCAGTACACTCACCTCCTCCTCCCCCGGTCAACTCACCACCACCACCAGTACACTCTCCACCCCCACCAGTTCATTCTCCTCCTCCCCCAGTCTACTCACCTCCACCACCAGTACACTCACCTCCTCCTCCCCCAGTCAACTCACCACCACCACCAGTACACTCTCCTCCTCCACCAAGAAAATGGGAAGACATCACACTACCACCACACATTGGAGCCGAATATAGGTCACCTCCTCCTCCAACAATTGCTGGATACTAAAATAGGAGACTACAATACAGTTTTTATTAACATCTTTGTAATTATTTTGACTGTATACAGTTTCAAAATTACTAACACAAAAAGTTGAACTTCACCTATGTGTGAATTCTAATGAAACTAATTTTAATGGCATTTTATATCTTCTTAGTTCTTATAAACCTTTAACGAATTTTCTGTTATTTGCATCTTTTCAATTTGTGCTAGTTAATACACATGTTTGAGTAAAGGCTATTTGATATATTAGCAATATTTCACAAAAATATATAAAAGTGTAAGTGCTCGAATAATATTTCACATATGCAGTAAAATATAATGTATCTCTACAAGTATGAACCAATAGTCATATGACCATCAATACAAATTTGTACTTGTATCAAAACACTACAAACAACTTAATTTGTAGACGAAACAGAATCAAATGCAACCAAACATCAAACGTACCGACTCAATCGAAGGCGTTGAAGATCGACGAGGAAACCACGGCGAGGACAGAGAAGCACCGTAAAGAACCTTGAAGAACAATGAAGCTCCGTGGGAACTGAAAGGAACCAGTGAACCAAACCAAATTATCTTTCAAACTATGAGTGCTACCATAAAAGTCTCTAACACATTTATGAAGATACTATTTTTAAAATTTTGAAATTCACAATAATTAGAGTGAATCTCAAATATTAAGGTGCTCTATTATATGTTGGCGAGTAACGATGTTAATTAACTCGGTACAAGTTGCAGCCGCTCAAAATTTATTACTCCCCTCTTATAAGTGATCTATTTGAATGTTTTAAAGGAAATGATTTATTTTAATTTTTAATATATATTTTTTAATTTTATCTTTTAATTAATATTAAGCGTATTTTGATAAAATTATCATTCTTTGATTTAATTATTATTTGTTTTTAATTTATGTGAAATGGTCAATCGAATCACTCATTGTGGAATGTAGGAAGTATTTGAAAAAAATTTAAAAAATTGAATTTTAAAGGTGTTTTTTAGATTTTTTTTATCATTAAAATGTTCAGTTTTCTTTTTATTCTTCATTAGGAACTCAAACATTTTTTATATTTTAAATTGGACTTTAAGCAATCTTTGAAATTTTAGCTCTTTCTTTGTGACATGATTGTTACACACTTCCCGTAAAAAAAAAATTGTTATATAGTTATTTTATTTGTTTATTTGTCAATTATTGCAACATCTGAATCTTTACAAAAGAAAATTGTAATAACTTATAATTAACCAGAGGAATATTTGAGTAATCAAATTTACTTAAGGTCATATATTATTTAAGAATTCATTTTATCTAACAGTTTATTCAATAAGTATATTGTGTGAAGATGGAAGTTTCATGTATTAGTAATAATTCATATTTTATTATATTATTTTCTTAAGCCCATAAGTTTGTTAGAGGGTATTTTAGTATTTTATCTTATTCTAGTAACCCTAGTTTTACCTTATAAATAGGGTGACAATCATTGTAACTTTTAATCCTGTTTCTTCTGCCGTCATTCTTAATAGAATATTTCTACCTTTCATCATTTATTCTACCTTTGCACCAACAATTGGTATCTAGAGCTCCGGTTCAGATTCATTGGGAAACACGGGAAACACGGGAAACATGAGTGAACGTGAGGTCTTGTGTGTTTGATTTTGATTCTTAGATTCGTGTTGAATCTTGAACAAAATCTGATCAGAATTTTATTCTGTGGGTTGGGAAACACTGTGTGAGAAATTTGAGTGTATTGTGCAAGGTAGAAGATGAACGGAAACGACAACATGAACACCAAACTTCCAGTATTTGATGGTAAAAACTGGAATCGTTGGATGATCCAAATGCGTGTACTATTTGGTACTCAAGATGTTCTAGATCTTGTCACTGATGGTTATGTTCCAGTAGCAGCAGATGCAACTGATGAACAGAAAAACGCGCAGAAGGAAGTAAGGAAGAATGATCAGAAAGCATTGTTCTTCATTCATCAATGTGTGGATGTAAACGTGTTTGAGAAGATTGCAGACTCTACAACAGCAAAGGCTGCATGGGACACTCTGGTGAGATGTTATGGTGGTGACGCATCAGTGAAGAAGGTGAAGCTTCAGTCCCTGAGAAAGCAATATGAGAATCTCAACATGAAGAATAATGAGAAAGTTTATGAATACATCTCCAGAATGATTCTGATCACTAATGAGATGAAGGCGTGTGGAGAAACTCTTTCAGAAGAAACAATAATGGAGAAAGTATTGAGATCCCTTACTCCTCAATTTGATTACATTGTAGTAGCAATAGAACATTCCAAAGATCTGAGCACCATGAGAATTGAAGAGCTGCAGAGCAGTCTAGAAGCGCAAGAGTTGCGTTTGACTGAGAGAACTTCTGAAAAGGAAGTAGAGCAGCAGGCTCTGAAAGCAACTTCTGATAGGAGGTATCAGAAGCAGTCAGAAGCCAGGAGAAGATCTGATGGTGGTCAGAAGTCAGAAAGCTCAACCTCTGATAGACAAAAGAATGCTCAGAAGGAAAAAGAGAAGTATGACAAGAAGAAGATCCAATGTTACTGTTGTAAGAAGTTTGGTCACTTTGCTAGAGATTGTTGGTCAAACAAGGAGAAGAAATCAGAAGAAGCAAATATAGCCAGAAGTTCTGATGACGAATCTGTGCTATTGATGGCCTCTGAATCTGATGATCTGACAGACTGGTGGTATATGGACACTGGCTGTTCAAATCATCTTACTGGAAACAAGAAATGGCTGGTTGACTTTGACTCTGAAAAGAGAACAAAGATCAGATGTGCTGATGACAAATATCTTAATGCAGAAGGTATGGGAAATGTCAGAGTGACTCTGAACAATGGGAAAATAGCATTGATTCAGAATGTGTGGTATGTACCTGGCATCAGAAGCAATCTGATGAGTGTGGGACAATTAATTGAGAAAGGTTTTTCAGTTATCATGAAGGACAATCTTCTGAAGTTGTATGACTGCAATCAGAAGTTGATTATGGAGTCAGAACAGGGAAGGAATAAAACATTCAAGGTGAATGTCAGAACTGCAGACTCAAAATGTCTTAGTGCAACAAGTACTGAGAAGGAGAGTGAGCTGTGGCACAGAAGATTTGGTCATTTGAATTTCAGAAGCTTACAACATCTGAATTCAAAGAAATTGGTACATGGAATTCCTGCAATTAAGAAGCCTGAAAAGTCATGCAAAGTTTGCATGGAAGGAAAACAACCAAGATTGCCATTTGCATCAGAAGTTGCTCCAAGAGCAAAACATGCCTTGGGAGTTGTACACTCTGATGTGTGTGGTCCATTTCCAGTAGCATCAATTGGAGGGAATAAGTACTTTGTGTTGTTTGTTGATGAATTCACAAGAATGACATGGGTATCCCTTATTAAATTTAAACATGAGGTGTTTGATGAATTCAAGAAGTTCAGAATGAAGGCTGAGAATCAGAGTGGTCAGAAGTTGAAGATTCTTAGAACTGATGGTGGAGGTGAGTATAACTCCAAAGAGTTCCAGAAGTTCTGTGAGGAGAATGGAATTGAGCATGAAGTTATTGCTCCTTATACCCCTCAACACAATGGTCTTGCTGAAAGAAGAAACCGTACTTTGCTTGATATGGTGAGAAGCATGCTAAAGGAAAAGAAGCTTCCTCAGAAGCTCTGGGGAGAAGCTGTTGCCACTGCAACGTATGTACTCAACAGATGTCCTACGAAGAAGTTGAAGGAAATAGTTCCTATGCAGAAGTGGACTGGAGACAAGCAAAGTGTTAGTCATCTGAAGGTGTTTGGTTCTGTTTGCTATAAACATGTTCCAGAAGCCAGAAGACAGAAGCTGGATGATAGAAGCAAAGTGATGATTCGGATAGGGTACCACAATACAGGTGCATACAAGCTCTATTGTCCAGAAACCAATAAAATTGAATTCAGCAGAGATGTGATTGTGAAGGAATCAGAAGTTTGGAATTGGGATAAGTCTCAATCTGATTCTGATGTTAGAACCTCTGAAGAAAGGCCAGAGTTAAGAATTTCTGAAGTTGAAGTAAACCCTGATATTGACTCTGACTCTGATACTGATTCAAACTCTGAAGAAGACTCAGAAGATGAAGGTGACCCAGATGACCCAGACTCTGATAATTCAGACTCTGATGGCAATCCAGATCTTGGTGGCAATTCAGACTCTGGAAATATGCCAGACTCTGAAGATGGTCAAAGCTCTGGAGGTCAATCATCTGAAGCTAGAAACTCTGAAGCTCAAGACACTGAACAAGTTTAGAGACCACAAAGAATCAGAAGCGTTCCCAGAAGATTTGCAGAATTTGACATGCTGCAAGACACTGAAGTAAACTCTGAAGGAGAAGTTATTCAGTGTGCCATGTTAGTAGACTCTGAACCTATAAGTACAGAGGAGACTCTTAAGCAGAAGCTCTGGCTGAAGGCCATGAAAGAAGAACTTGATGCTATAGAGAGAAACAAGACTTGGAAGCTGACATAACTTCCAAAAGACAAGAAAGCCATCAGCGTCAGATGGGTTTTCAAGCAGAAGTTAAAGCCAGATGGCTCAATTGGCAAACATAAAGCAAGGTTGGTAGCCAGAGGATTTCTACAGAAACCTGGGCTAGATTATTCTGAAGTGTTTGCACCTGTAGCAAGACATGAAACAATCAGAATGGTGATTGCAATAGCTGCTAACAGGAATTGGCCTCTGATGCATTTAGATGTAAAATCTGCATTTCTGAATGGTCCATTAGAAGAAGAAGTTTACGTGTCACAACCTCCTGGATTTGTGAAAAACAACCAGGAAGGGATGGTGTACAGATTATACAAAGCTCTATATGGACTGAAACAAGCGCCCAGAGCTTGGAATCAGAAGATTGATTCATTTTTCAAGAAGCAAGGCTTTCAGAAATGTGAGATGGAGTACGGTGTCTATGTTCAGCATACTTCTGAAGGCAATATGACTCTGGTATGTTTATATGTTGATGATATACTATTGACTGGAAGTTCTGAACA